AGAGTGGCCGCTGCGGGCGCTGGGCTGGAGTCGGGCTGCCAGCGGTGTAACCCAGCTCCCGCTCAGACAGCTGGCTCCTCCTGGGGTGGGGAAGGGTGAGTTTTGTTCACAGAATTACAGACCTGTGAAAACTGGGAGCCAAAAGAGAAACAGTAGTCAGATGCAGCAATACCATATTCTAAACCAGATCAAGACTTGTGGAAGGACAAACTTCTGGGGTTTTCTAATGTGTTTTATCTTCTGATTCAACAAAAACATCTGCAACAGCAAGGTGGCATGTATTCATTGTGCATAAAAGGCTTTCATACAATAGCTGAAAAATGCTACTGATAAAAGAACTTTTGCCTTACGTGACTGAATCACACTAAAAATTGAGCGAGGATCCCCCAAGCCCCAGCTGGCCCTTCAGTAGTGTGGAAGGAAAATCGCTAATGCCTTGCGGACCTTCCTTCGTAAGCCCCACTAGCTGGAAAATACCTGCAGCATGACCCAATGGCCTCGCTAAGTCAGCATCATCCAGTTACTGAAGGAGTGAGCTCTTTGTAAAAGGACAACCTGCCCAAAGCTCTTTTATCCCACTGTCTGGAGCTCCCTCCTGTGAAGCAGCCCACGCAAAAGCACTCTGCTGTAATTTATTGTGTTCTGCTCATTTGCCATGTACTGCAGTTCCGTGAAACAAGTGCCGTGACCCAAAGGCACGTAAACTCTGTACCTGCCCCTCTTGGGCAGTCTGGCTGCCTCCATGTCCTCTCCGGGAGCTGTAGGCACACACTGCTCTGCTCTGACCCAACCAAAATCATTTGCAGGCTCCCGCCATGTTGGGGGCTGTGGGATCCCAGCTTTTAAACGCAGGTCAGTCCAGAACCTTCCTCTTCCAGGTGGTTTCTCAGAGGCAGCCTGCACAGATGAGGTCTTTACACAGACACTGGCACAGGTGATAATGAAAACGCTCCAGAGACTGTGGTGGCTGCCTTTGCTCAAGGCTTGCAAACTAACTTTCAGGAGCAATTACAGTCTGTTCCCATCCAGTGGCAGAACACACCGCCTGCGCAGCCCAGCCCGCTTGCTGAACTAGCTACTGTTGCCCATCACTGCAGTGCAGGTCAGGAGAGGGAAAAGACACTGGGCAAAACTGAACTCATTGCAGCACCAATTCAACATTTTGCGCCTGGAAATACTGAAATGCTCCTGACAACGCACGTCATTATTGCAAACAATAAGGACACTGGAAGTCAGAGTGTCCTTACAGACCTGACCGTAAGCCCTCATGCCAGACAGGCACTGTTCACCTAACTCTTTCTTCAGCCCGCATTCTCAGAAATGTGATTAAGGCAGCCCAAAGGACATCGACATCACCACTCCTTTACTTTCTTTAGACCGCACTATCCACATTCATCTATTAAGGGCGAGATTGTTTCTTGCCTACTTGATACCGGCACTTTCCAATGGACTTCATAAGCCTCTGGTTTTCCTGCAGTTTTTTTGTCATCAGAAGCAGTAAATGCTGTTGGTATTTCAGGACAACACATATTTCATCTGGTAACACCTCCTTCACCTACAATTATCAACCCCATTCCTGAATACCATGCTTTCCCTTTAAGTCCTGCTGCCCCTGTTAACATTCTAAAAGAAACCTCTTATATAAATTAGGTTGTACTGTGTATCACAGCCCAGATATGCCTGCACCAGGACAGGGTGAATTTGTGACTCCAGCTATTGTCAAATGCCAGGCCTGTCTCTCCATCATGTGTAACAGTTCCTTGGGAAGACAACTCTAACTCTGAACATCCCCTCTTCCTTCCTCTTTCCCCCAGCTTTTATTGCTGAGCACAACATCATGTGGTGTGGGATATCCTTTGGTCAGTTTGGGTCAGCTGTACCAGCTGTGTCCCCTCCCAAATTCTTGCCCATCGCCAGCCCTACTTGCTGTCAGGGTGGTGTGAGACACACAAAGCTTCTTTAAGCTGTTCTTACCAAAATGGTTAAATGGACAGAATTCACTGTCCAGACTATTAGAAAGACTTGGATCAAGATCCGTCCTGCAAACATCCCTCACAATTGTAGTTTATCCATTGATCCAGAGAGAAGTACTTTTGACAATCTGAGTTTCAGCCTATCTGTTCCTCTGCACCACTGGGATGTGTCACTGCACTGCTGCATCCCGGTGAGGCTGTATGAGGAAAAAAACATTACACTTTGCAAAGTAAGCAGATACTAAACTGGTGAGTGCCACAGAAATATAGAATGAAAACAAACAATATTTTCTTTTTTTCCTGTAAAGTTGCTGACACGGACTCTGCCAATGACTGCCTTAAACTTGGTACTGCTCACAGGATGAGGGTGAGATCACAGAAAGAATGTGGATGAGGGGACCTTGGGAGGACTCTGGACCAACCTCCTGCCCAAAGCAGGGTCAGCCCTGGGGTCAGCCCAGGTGCTCAGGGCTTTGTCCAGCTGTGGCTTGAAACCCTCGTGCACAGAGGTGGAAAAAACCACAACAGGAAACCTGCCCCACTGCCTGACTGTCCTTATGGGGAAAGGTGCCCCTGATCTCCAGCCTCAACTGCCTGGTTTCAGCTGATGCCATGTGCCTGTGGGGGCAGATGGCCCACTGTGATGTCACCATGTGGTGGATGGTGATGTCAGCGAGCAATGGACTGTGACCTCGCATCCCTTGCTGCTTATCTTGGGGCGCCAGCAGAGGCCGGCCCAGCCTGGCTCGTGCCTG